AGGGGAGGGGAGGGGAGGGGAGGGGAGAGGAGAGGAGGGGAGGGGAGGGGAGGGGAGAAGAAGAGAAGAGAGGGGAGGAAAGAGGAGGGGAGGGGAGGGGAAGGGAGAAGAGCAGAGGAGAAGAGAGGGGATGGGAAGAGAGGGGAGGGAAGGAGATGACAGCAGAAAAGAGGAGAGCAGAGGAGAGGGGAAGAGAGCGGAGGAGAGCAGAGGAGAAGGGAGGAGAGGCAAGGGGAGGAGAGGAGAGGAGAAGGGAGGAGAGCAAAGGAGAGGAGAGGATAGAAAAGGGGAGGAGAGCAGAGGAGAGGGGAGGAGAGCAGAGCAGAGGAGAGGAGAGGCAAGGGGAGAGGAGAGGAGAGGAGGCAGAGCAGGGGAGAAGCAGAGCGGGAGAGGGGAAAGAGCAGAGGCGAACAGAAGAGGAGGAGGAGAAGCATGTAAAGAGTTGCACAAGGACAAAGAAGGAAATGAGGTGCAGACAAGGCAGAGAGGGAAGATAAAAAAAATAAAGTGTGTCAGATGAGGGGCACAGTCAACTTTCTGATGACGATGCGGATTTATGGGCTAGTTGACTGAGGCGGAAGTTCTCTGGTGTTTTAGCAGGTGGAATCTTCAGGGCAGCACCCTGCGGGTTCTTCAAGGGGGAGACCTATAGATTGAGTATCGCACCAATAACCTTTAGAGAAGTCATCTGGCTTTTAATTTGAAAAATGGAAAGTAGAGAAGGCTTGTGAGGCAGTCAAAAAAAAAACAATAAATAAATAAAACCAGAAACTAAAAACAAAGCCTTCACGCCAACACTGGAAGACCTGGGTTAACCGCGTGCAATGACATTCCCCCTTAATCATTAATTTACCTTCTCTGGCTTCATTGTCATAGATGAGGACTTTTGACCCCTCCAAGACAATGTATTTCCTGTCCCAGCCTTGCTGTCCTCGTTTGTTATTCCTGGGAAAAGAAAAATGGGCAAGAAAAATGTCTCAAGAGGCAAGCGGAAGCAAGGTGGAGGGGCTTCCTCAAAGACACTTCCCTAGAAGAGACGGAGAGTGGGAGCGGTTGTGCCCTCCGGGCTGGCACCTGCCTGGGCCCAGGCCACCCTACAATGGTACCTGGGCACTTTCATCCACCCTTCCAGATGCAAGCCGCTGCTGGGCTCCTTGCTCTGGAGACCCGGGGAGTTCATTTTGTCACGGCAGAAGGCCTCGGTGAAGTGTGTGGCGTATTCAGCAGGCAGGCCACAGGTGGCTGGCAAGCAGGTGGAGCACTTGGGATGGCACATGAGCTGACATTCTAGAAGAGGGCAAGGAGCAGTCTGAAGGCACGCTCCGCGGTTCCAGCCAGGCCACGCGCTTCTCCACCCCCAGAACGACTGCAGGTGGAGCTGAGCGCACACGTAATCCCTGTGCTTTCCCGGGTGCCGGGGAAGCAGCTGCCGCCCTCAACCCCGCTGTCCTGGCCTCGGTCTAGGCTGCCCACCATGAGCTATGTATACAAACATGTTTGCATGTTCAGTTCAAGCCAGGAGGGGAGAAACCAGCCTGACACAAAGGGAACAGAGATTACCAAGATGGAAGCATTTTACATATCAACTTGGAAGTCATGAACTGAAGCCACCATTTGAAGTCACTGCTTTAACAAGGGAAAAAATAGTGTCCTCCCACTGAAGTGAAAAGCTTTGGCTCTGAATGCATTACATGACAGTTTAAAACATCACCTCCACCTGACAGATTCTACAGACGGAGACACGCAGGCGCCCAGCACAGACGCATGGCTGCTGAGCTTACCGAGACATTTGGATGCCTGACGTCCGAAGTGCACAGTATCCAGACACACAGCACACTTGGTGGCTCGCATGTTCAGCCCCACGTTGAATCGGTGAGGAATGTTGTGGTGCATACGTTCCTTAAGACGTCGATTATATTCTGAAGGGAAAAAAATTTTAATTGCAAGTGGAAAGAGAATTCAAAGGATGGGAGAAACAGTCTCTGGTTAGGGCTTGTATAAGAATCTATTAGAGTTCTTACAACCAGGTACTTTGGCTAGATAGTTCCCCAAAGAGGAAAAGTAGCCCCAAAGTACCTGAAAAGATTCAAGGAATCATTAGGCTTTAGGAAAAAATGCAAATTAAAACCATAGCAAGATGCGGGGTCATGGAAAAGTCTAGAATCTGAGAAATGGAAAACTAGGTTTTGGAGGATGTGGAGAAATGTGCATTCTTTGCGCTTTCCAGTGGGGACAGAAAATGGTACAGTCACTTTGGGACCCAGTTGGACATTCCCTCAAAAAGTTATCCACAGAATACAATACAAACATCATTCCAGCAATTCCACTCTTAGCTTTATGCCAAGAGGACAGAAAACACACACACCCCCAACTGCATATTGCACACAGCAGCACAACTTACGGCAGCCAAAAAGCAGAACTAAGTCAAGCACCCTCAGTAGCGTAATGGGCGAGACGCACCACCCAAACAATCAAACAATGAAATAGTATCTAGCCACGGAAAGAAAGAGAACTGGGGTAGTGGTGTGTGCTACAAGGTGGGTGGCGCTCAAAAACATGGTGTTCTGAAAAATAAGTCAGGCACAAAGGGTGGCAGGGAGTGTGGTCCCATTCATCTGAAAGACCTAGAAAAGCAAATCCAGAGAGAAATAAAGTAGATTAGTGGTTGGTGGAGGTGCGGGGGGAGACATAAGGAACAACTGCTGGCTGACAGAGTTCAGAGGTCATCAGGGGCGTCCTCAAGTTAGTGAGACGTTGATCGGACAGCGCTGTGAGTACACTAAAAACACTGAATTATACATTCCACATGGGTGGTTTTTAGAGCATGTGAGTTATATCTTCATTAAGCTATTAAATCATGAATCGTAAAATTATTGTAGCCATTGCACATGCATCTAGATTTATATGAGTCAGCAAGACCTCTGCGACCTGATAGTTACTCAGTTTAAGAACGTATTCCTGGTAGAAGGCTGACTGTATGGTGGCACCCAAGTTTGTGAACATTTAAGGCTGGGGATTGTTGTTGTTGTGTGATACAGGGGCTCATTATGCAGCCAGTTCCTGGCTGGCCTAAAACTCATTCATTATGTAAACTAGGCTGGCCTCAAACTCACAGAGATTTGCCCACCTCTGTCTCCTGAATGCTGGAAGTAAAGGTGATCACCACTAGCCCAGCCCTAAAAATGTTTATTGATTATTTGTAAATATTTGGTCGTGAAAGCAAGTGTCTAATGTTTTGCATGGAACTCAGTTTAAAAGTCACAGTTATGAACAGCAGGATTTTTTTTTTTTCGAGACAGGGTTTCTCTGTACCTTTGGAGCCTGTCCTGGAACTAGTTCTTGTAGACCAGGCTGGCCTCGAACTCACAGAGATCCGCCTGCCTCTGCCTCCCGGGTGCTGGGATTAAAGGTGTGCGCCACTACCACCTGGCTACAGCAGGATTTTTTTGTTATTAGGAACTGAGTGAAGAATTCTTTTATGCCCAGTTTTTTCACGAATGACCTCTTGTTCAGAACTTTTTATGTCTGGAGAAATGAGTCTTACATTTCTATTAACGCGGCTGACCCCACCCTACCCACCATGTACAGTGACCTGGTGACAGGCACATCCATACGGAGAAAAGCTCAGAAGACACCTGAGCTGGGCTCTGCTGGGGTCTCCTTACTACACTGCCCCCTTCCTTTCTTGGGAAGTGGCAAGGCGCGGCACGAACGTACAGGACCACCTGGAGGGTGCAGTACACACCAGGAGGGACATTTGCAGGACAGCTGCTAGTGGACACACAGCCAAGGAGTCTAGATGACTTTTAAACATTCTGGCCAAGGTGTCCTATAAACACAGCAACAGAAAGGCACCCAGGTCTGGACGGCCACAGCCACAAGACAATGTCATCAAAATCCTCAGCCTGCAAAGACCGACAGTGAAGCCAGGACACTGAACGACAGCTCCACTCTGCTCCCCAAACCACTTTCCTTGTCCTTTTCACCTCTGCGTGACACGGAACTTTCGAGACCACAAGGAAAATCCTTTACCTTGCCAGGTAGTGGTGGCGCACGCCTTTAATCCCAGCACTCGGGAGGCAGAGGCAGGCAGATTTCTGTAAGTTCGAGGCCAGCCTGGTCTACAAGAGCTAGTTCCAGGACGGCCAGGGCTGTAACAAAGAGAAACCCTGTCTTGCAAAACAAAACAAAAAACAAACAAAACAAAACAAAAAAAAGAAAACCCTTTACCTTGTAGTGGTCATAGCAACTGGCTGCAAGTTGGTCACATTAAGTGCCTACAGCCTTTCCCCCACTGACTCACTTCCTAAGAATTCACCCCTGAGCCTCTCCCGGAGGCACAGTATGTCCCATGAGGGGCGGGTGGCAGCAAGAGCAGGTCTCCCTTAGTAGAGGCTCGTCTACGCACACCATGGGATACTGTGCGGTTCTGTGCCAGAGGGAAGCAGATCTAATCACAGATGTATGAAATGAACACTGAGGTAGCCTGCAATGTCCAGGAGAGGGTCAATAAGATTTTTTTTTTTAAACGGACCTAACTAAGAAACAGGTTAGTTTTTTTAGTTCACTGTCATAGCCCTGGCTGGCCTAAAACTCACAGAGATCCGCCTGCCTCGGCCTCCTGTGTGCTGGAATTAAAGGTGTGCGCCACCATGCTGCCTTGTGTTCTTGAAACATATGCGTATCAGGTATGGGGCTGAATACCGACAGTAGCTGTTCTGGGTGACAGACGGGAAAGGAGACTGTTGTTAGTGTTACACTGGGGTCCTGAGGACAGTCTTCTCGTGTCTGTATGGGGTTCCCAGGTTAGGTCTGTCTGGTCACACGCTTCCCTCTGCCACCTTGGGAAGTAGCGAGATTCCCTTGTGAGACGCTGGCACCACGCTCCTGGATTTCTCAGCCAAATAAACTCCTTTTCTTCACAACCTACCCCGTTTCTGATGTTTTGTTACAACGGGAGAAAACAGACGGCGACAAGAGCCTACCCTCTGGAGTCGACGACTCCTTTCGGCGGCTGGATGGCGGGGCGAGCAGGCTCATGGCGCTGGGCTGGTGCTCGGGCGACCGCACAATGGCAGACATGGCAATCTGCTGTCTCGCAGTGGCTGGCGTCGACGGGTGTGGGTGGTCGGTGGCTTTGCGGTGGGCAGCTGCAGAGACAGCAGGACAAGCCTGTCAGTTGACGCGACCACCTAGTGGGCCAGACAAAGAAGGCTGCCCATGGCTGCCTTTCAAGGCCCAGAAACCAAAAGGACAGGTGCTGTGCTAACTCAGTGACACCGAGGAGGCTGCAAAATGTTCAGACTTGGGACACGTCTGGAATGAAAACGCACTGGCCACAAACGGAAGTGCTGAACTAGTCCTGGCCAGCCTTATGGGGAACGGTCTTCGGCCGGGTCCGTAGTTTTGCCGGCTTTCCAAGAGCTCCTACCTTCCTCCCGGGCAGACCGGAGCTCGATGCGGGTCTTCTGAAGGGCTTCCTCCAGCTCCGCACAGCGTGCTTTCTCCTTCTCCAGGGCCAGCTTCAGCTCATTGTACTGCAGAGGAACCTGTGTGGGCAAAGCAGGGTCCTCTTTCCGTCGACTAAATAAACCCTAGCAATGGAAACAGAGATATCTCCTAACTCCTAGAAACTGGCACTGGACCCAAGCTAAAGGAGAGCTGACTCAGGAGGAGCAAGCCACCGAGGCCAGGCACATACTCACTGTAAGTGTGTTTGGGGAAAATGGCATGTGAAGGGGGGAGGGGGGAGGGGAGGCCGAGCCTCAGCCCATTCCAGTCCGCTGAAAAAAAGAGCGGGGTGCGGAAGTTTTCACCGAGAGGGTTAAAGATGCTTCAACTGCCTCCACCTCTTCCTCTAGCATTCCCAAGACAGGAGAGTCACTTCCCGAGAGTCCTTTCCCCTCAAAAAATGCAATCAGGTTGGATGGAGGATGGAGCTGGGAGCGATGGCTATGGTGGAGAGGTTGCTCTTGCCTTTGAACTTGTCTCATGGTGCTTGGTGACAAGACACAGGGAAGGGGTGGGTTTTGTTTTTTTTTAAAGAAAGCAAAATTTGAAAATGAATGCTAAAATGATATCAAAACAAGGGGCTTACTAAAAAAAGAAAAATATCAACAGAAACATTTACTGTACACAAAAGGGAAAAAAACGGAATCACGCATCTGACAAAAAATTAACTGAAAGAAAACCAAATGCAAACGCCCTAACTACATCAATGACAACCAGACAACAGTCCGCTGCTAAAATTAAAAAAAAAAAGATTAAATATCATGAGCATAGCAAATATGGTACCATGGTATGCAAGAAAACCCTCCGGTGGCCAGCACCCTAGCAAGAGGCAGTCTTGGAACTCTGTGGCACCCCTCAGCAGTAACAGTGACACAGGAACACTGAGGCCAATCAAGGGCATTGGCCCTGCATTCCCTTCTTCTCCCTTCCCTTTAAAACTCCTGCCATGGTCACTACAGTGTGCTAAGACCCTTCGGAGGAAACTGCCAAGCCCCTGGAAACCTTTCTGCAAGTCAGAACATTTGGCCAACCTCAGGTGAGCACTTCAGCTGTTGGGGAGAGGCATGGACTGGGCTTGTTTATAAAAAGCAATCTTCACACTGGACTCTTCATGTACCCCAGCCCCCCCAGACTGGGGCTGAAGGAGGTGGGGTCTCACATGTCACAGCTGACTTCTCATTCAGGTTCTCGTTTGTTTGTTACAATTTAGAGCAGAGAGTGCAGGGCCAGTGAAGGCAACCACTGTCAAGTTTTAACCAGGTCGGTTCAACTTCCTGCACCAAGATGGTCATTTAACAGCACGGGGTAGGCAGGCATGGCAGGCACACCTGAAATCCCAGCACTCAGAAGACAAAATGATTGTGAGTTTAGGTCCAGCCTGAGTTACATAGCAAAATTCCATCTTGAAAAAGATCAAAGGATAAAACTAAGCAAAAACACTGGACTCGGTCACCCTGGAGAACTGTGTAGATGGCATGCCACCTGCTAAACTCTCAAGAGTCACTTATACACGACCTGACCCACATGGGAGTCCTAGACACATGACCTTCGAACCTAATATTCGACCTATGCGTAAGCCTTTTTCTCAGTAGATGCTCTGGCCTAGCTTCTCTGCAGACGCAAAAAAAAAAAAAAAAAAAAATCACTCCCTTAGGAGAGCAACTTGCTAGTCTTGATCAACAGTTCCCTAAGACAAAGGCTACTCCAGTTACATTAAGACCCAGTCCTCAAACCGGAATAAACAAAAAGGTGTGTTTTTCTTCTGCTTGCACGATTATTCGCCACAGTGGTGCGCATCCACAAAGCCACGGGAGATGGAGCAGGGCTGGCTGCTCCTGCTGTCAAGCACCCTAACTCACCTTTTTCTTCTTAGCCGGTTGGTCCATTTTAGCTTGCAAAAAATCAATGAGTTTCGTTTGTTGAGAAATAGTGCCTTCCATTTTCACCTTTTCATGAGAATAGAGAACCTAAAATTCATGGAGACAAAGATGACCTCAGAGCTGGACGGAAGTATATGTTTGAACTTGGTACATTAAGAACATAAACAGTCAAGCAGGAAAATACAACATAAAAAACACTGGTGGGAAATATTTAGAAAACACCGGTGGGAAATATTTAGAAAACACTGGTGGGTAATATTTAGCCCCAATCTTATGAAAAGAAGAAAAAACACATGGGGCCAGCAAGATGGCTCAGTGGGTAAAGATGCCGTGCATCAGACTGGATCCTAGGACCCACATGGAAGAAAGAGAGAACTGACTTCCACAGGTGGTTCTGACCTCAGACACACATCCCATGCTAGACCTCCCAAATAAATAAGCAACCAATAAGGATATGAAGAGTAAAAATGAAAACGGTTAATTAATGGGATTCAGATTGTGGATACTATGGATTTTTCAACTTCAAAGATGTTTGTAAAATTTCATAATTTAATGTTAGAGAAACACAGGCAACATACAAACAAAGGACACTGACAATTGCAAAGGGGCGGGGGAGGGGAAGAGGGGAGGAGAAGGGAAGAGAGAGGGAGGAGGAGAAAGGGAGGTAAAGAAGGGAGGAAGAAGGAAGGGGAGGGAGAGAAAGGGGAAGGAGGACAGAGGAAGAGGAAGCAACAGCTGCCCGCAGCGCCCCCTGCTGGCCCTCACCTGAATGTTTTCCAGTTGATATTCCAGGTCACTTCTTTCTGTCTTCAGCAGATCTGCCCGGTCCAGCGCCTCCTGCAGCCCTTGCGTCAGGCGGAAGATGTGGCTCTTCTGCAGATCCATCTGCTGCTGCAGCTTGGCTTGCTGGGTAGGGGTGGGGGAGAGGGTGGCAAGAGGTTTGACAATGTGCAGAGCAGGGCCTCCTTCCAACCATGGCTCCCATTCCCCAACTTCTGGCTTGACACCAAAGTCCCCTTATCAAACCACCTCCTTCACCTCCTTCCGGAATTGCTGGTGGTTTGCTCTTCCAAGTCAGGAAGGCATGGCTAAAAAGGTTTAAAAGTTCTCCTGAAGGCACATGCCTATAATCTCACACTGCAAGGTACCGGGAAGTCCAGGCCTCCCGCTCTGTGCTACCAAGAAAGCCATTTTGGTGCCTCAGAGCAAAATACGGAGCCGACAGCGGAGCAGTGAGAATCAGTTTCACCTGTCCCAGCTGGGGGTGTCTATGACCTCAATGGATAATCAGGAAAGCCGCACAGGCTGTATGGCGTGCACAAAGACAAATCATATCAGCCCGACTGGAGCACTGACCTCGAGCACATAAACAGCCACAATTAGAGGACACATCTGCAGTGTGGGGACAAAGAAGAGCCTAGTTGTGCAATAGGATTTGGTAAAACCCAATGAAAAAAAAAATCAGGCTCACGTACTAGAGATAATGTGTGTTGAAAAATCTCCCCGATCTTTACAGTCTAAATCAGCTGGCCCCTTCCTAAAATGCGTTTCATTTCATCTAACCTCTGGTTGTCATGTAAACACAGCCAAGGTGGCCCACAGAACCTCTTCCTGATGGTCTAAACTCTCTGCAGAAGAAAGGAAAGCAAGCTAAGAAACCAAAGCTTTCAAACAGTCCCAGGCAGATAGATGCCCCAGTCCCCAGCCCAGCAGAATGGGGCCACAGTGGCCTCAGACTGGCTGGCCCTCTTACTTCGTTGCTTTCTATGTTTTACTTCCCATTTGAATGGCAACGGCTGCCAGAGGCATTGTGTTATTATAAGTTGAATCTGGACCCTGCCATCGTCTAGATCCTGGCTTAAATCCTGCTCATATTGCCTTGCCCAGCCCTTGCTTCTTCCTGAGTGGGTGTAAAACCCCGACTCCCCGAGTGACAAACTCAACAGTTTTTGAATATCTTATATCATGGAATAAGTGCTTGGTGCTGGGAGTCTCTAGCTGTTTGTCCTTCTTTCTTCTCTCCTTCTGATTCAGTGTTCTTCACACTTTACCATCTGCCTTTCTACCTACCCAGTCACATTTAGTATGCAAGATGGCTAAACTTAATGGTCAGCTTGTTAGAGAGATCAGTGTAGCCTAGCTGAGTGTTTCTGGGAAGGCCCAGGGCAATCGGATCTTAGGGCCTTTGATGGAGTCACACGTGACAGTGGTACTACTGGAAGATGTAGAAGGGTAAGGGGCGTGACCCCCTGGGAAGAAGGACACCATTTCCTGACTGCCATGGTGTGCACTCCTCCAAACCCTCCCCCAGTAAAAATGGATGGTTCTTCTGTAGCTGAGCGCTAAAGCAAATACTTCCTTCCTCGAGTTGCTTAGGTCGTGTGTTTTGCCACAACAAAGACAAAAGTAACTACTAAAGTGCATAGCTTGGAATTTCTAAAATATACCAGAGTCAAACAACAAACAAAACCCACAACAGCGACGAAGAGGAAGGCAGTTCACACGCTGCCAGAGGGCAGTTACAGCCCTTTGGGCTCAAGTGTTTTCCTTCCATAGCTTCCTCCACGATTTTAGGACATTAATTAGTGAGCGGGAACCAGGGAAACATGTCATGGGCACCATGGTCTATTTGGTGACAGCTGGGCTAAAAATATTTCTCTAGACTAAACACATCCATTATCTGCTGGCTCTCCAAGAAATAACCAGATACAAGTGATGTTTGCGCTCTATGGAAGGTTATCCAAGGCGTCTATCTGCTGCCCGGAGAGAGGCAGAGGGAGGTGTGTTTGTGGGCCAGCGGTCCCCGGGGAGGCGGACCTGGCGATGTGCTTAGGCCCGTCCAGCAGCTTTATGGGAGTGACAAGGAACCGAGAGGCTGACGAGAGGCACTCGTGACAGAACTGGAGCGGGAGCAACTGCGGTGAGCAAGGGTGGCCAAAGCTAAGAAGAAAAAGTTGAGTAGGATGGCATTTTTTAGAAGATCAACACAGAGATGTTTAAGAACAAACTTAGTGGACAAATAGGTGTGATTTCAGAGGTTAATGAGCGTCAATGGCATGGTTACTCAAAGAGCCAAGTAAGTGTCAAGGGTTTGCTGAGCCGAAGGGAGAGACAGAAACACAGCACTACATAAAACCACATGCAGGCCACACTGACACCACACAGGGCCTAGGGAGGGCAGGTGTCCTGTAGGGTCCCTGCAAGGACAGCACAAACAAATTCATGTGCGGTACTGAGTGAGAGACCTGGCTCACACGATAACTGTTTAGTAATGGGACCGTTGGTCATGCATGTTTTGATTTTCGACTTGTTTGTTTTTGTTTTGTGTAGGTTGGGCTTTTATTTTTTTCTCTTCTACTGTTGGGGACTGAACCCGGGCCCTTGCACACAATAGGCAGTCAATCACTCCATCAGTAAAGCTACATCCCTCAACCCCTAGTTACTTTATTAACCAGATAATTTGGGCTGGAAAGACAGCTCAGTGGCTAGGGCTTCTTGCTGTCCGTCCAGAGAACTTGAGTTCTGTTCCTGACACTCGTGTTAGGTGGCTCATCACTACCTGTAACTTCGGTTTCAGGGTATCCAATGCCCTCTCTAGCTCCCACAGGCACCCACACACATGTGGATACACACATACACACAGATAAACGTAAATTTGACTATTAAGATTAATCCTGATACCACAGTAGCTTTAAAGTTCTGCCAGGATTTTAAAAATAAGAGAGGACTTTGCAGAGATTAGAGATCCTAGAAAATAGGATGTGACAGTCACTACAACTCCCCGGGAGAGTTCCACAGACCTGCCTGTGAGGAAGAGGTGCGGGGAGGGACTCCGCCCTGTGTAAGTCATCAACCTTAACCAATGAGCAAACGGACATCCATCTCGGGTATGACTCCCAAAGGACTGACGTGGAGAAAAGCCATTGTAAAATCTGTCAGGGGAAGTTAGTCACGAGAGGAATTTGGGCTGGAGACTAAAGATTCTTAAGTCGGAGACCAAGTTGGTTCCTTTGCCATCTCTGTCCCTATGGAGACAACAGTTTGGTGGGGGTCACACTTAAGAAGCATGTACCGCACCCTGGATTCTAAACATGTTCTGGACAGCAACAGTTCTTTTTTTGTCTTTTAATGGTTATGATGATGTGTGAATTTCTACTCAAATCAGTGTTGGCCAGATGTCTACTCGAACATCTACCCATGAGGGGCAGACTGGGAAACTGAAAACATTCTCCTAAGTCAGAAGTGAGAAGGTGGGGCTGAGTCAGGCTTCCGGCCTGCTATTCCTGGCTTTGCCACTGACTCACCACGTAACCTTGGACCAAGCACGGAGCTGTCAGGGCCAGTGTGCCCTTCGCAGATGGAAAATAGGACACTCGGTAGCCTCAATTATTTCTGTCCTGTTTCTGTTTCCAGCTTGTGCCTAATTGTAGGAACATTGCCTATTCATTCCGGAGAAAAGACCACCTGGTAGGCTGATGGTTTCTATTACAGGTCAAACATTTCCAACATCAAAAACCCAGATTTGAAATGTTCCCTAACCCAAAACTTCTTGAGTAGAAAATGCCACAACTGATCTCATGTGATGGGTCACACTCAAAATGTGGACATATTAAAAATACTGGACAAAGGCTGCTGATGGAGTCAGGACTATGCTGCTTGCCCAGAATGCATCAGGCCCTGGACTCGAGCCCCAGTAGCACACACGAACACAATCTAACATTACCGCCGGTCCAAGTGTACACGGTGTCAGTGTTCATATTTGGGTCCTATCCCCAAGAGATTCCATTATATATACATACCAATGTTTCTTTTCTTTTCTTTTTTTTCTGAGACAGAGTTTCTCTGTAGCTTTGGAGCCTGTCCTGGAGCTAGCTCTTGTAGACCAGGCTGGCCTCGAACTTACAAAGATCCGCCTGCCTCTGCCTCCCGAGTGCTAGGATTAAAGGTGTGCGCCACCACCACCCGGCACATGCCAATATTTCAAAGATCCAAAATCAAAATTACTTCTAGTTCCAAGTATTTTAGCAAGGAATAGTCAACCTATACAGTGAATTTCATTATAGCTGAAGAATTTCATTCATATATGTTTGTACATATAAAACTTATTTTTAAGTTTTGGGGATAAAGCATACTACATAAAATTAATCACTTCATTGTTTTCTTTTTATTGATGATGCTAAGGATCTAACTGTCGGTTTCTTGCATACTAGATCATTTTAGCTATACCCCCACCCCCATCACGTGTAGGAGGGCAGTTGGTTCCCTCCTTCCGCCATGACCAGAGATGGAACTCAGGTCATCGGGATTGGGCACAAGCCCCTTTACTCACTGAGCCATCTCACCAGTCCCAGCTCAGCTCTGGAGACAGGGCTTCTCACTGAGCCTGGAGTTAACTGTTTCAGCTGAGCTAGACAGTCACTGGGCACCAGGGACCCTTTGGTCTCTGCCTCCCCAACACTGGGGTTATAGGTGCACCACTACACCCAGCTGTGAATGCGAACTCGGACAGATCCTCATGCCTGAGCAGCGTGCCTCTACCAACTGAGCCATCTTCCCAGCCCCGATCTGAGCCATAAGTTTAGCTCAGTGGCAGCGAGGGCATTCGCATTGCTGCAAAACAGCGCCGCCATCCACCTCCAGAACTTTGCCAAGCGCCCAGCTGTGCCTTTTAAAGTGTGACTTCATGGGGCATCTCACTGTAGGCAGCTGTAAGACCTTCACTACTCCCCTCGGACAGAACAGCACGGCCACGTCATAGCCATCGGCAGAGCGCCTCAGGAGCTCTGACCACGTGACCAGCGTGGGCCTGCAGCTAACTGAGCAGCACTGCCTTTCTCCAGCTCTTCACCAGGTATCAACCCGAAGTGCATTTGCCCTTGTGGGTCAAGGCGAGTGAGGAAGAATTATCATGGGCGATGCCATGTCTGAGACTTTGGCTGGGGGGTGGGAAGTCTTTACCATTTAAATAGCAATTTTCAGAGTTCTGACAAGAAAAGAGACGAAATCACAGAAGGGATGCATTTAGATCAGATTGAGCTTGACATCCTGTGTCTCAGAATCAGGAGAATTCTTCCTTAATTGAATTAAGTGCATGCTCAAAAGTCCTCAAGAAATTTGGTACTCAAAAATCTGATCACATCCTTGCCCTGTGTAGGAAGCTAATTTGCATGAGTGTTCTATCAACATGAAACTTAATATGCTTCAACTATCAACTCTTAAAGACAACCTAACTCAATCTTCACTCAGCCCTGCGCTCACTAAGCCTCTACTGGGCACATACTAACTCGGATGAACGGCAGTCTATATTAAGCGCCATACAATACAGGAAGACACAAATAATGGACGCTCTGGCCTTCAAGACAAACTCTTTTACTGTGTTAAGCAATATGAAGTGTTATGTGGTCCGCTTAGGACTCTACCTCAGAAATTCTAGCTTCAAAAATCTGAATGTCTAATTTGGATCCAATTGCCTGAATAGAACAACTTACTTCTTTCAAAATCTTAGCTGAGGGCTCAGGTGCTGCCTCAGTGGGTAGAAGCATTTCCTGTGCAAGAAGGAGGCCCTGAGGTGGAATTCCCACCACCCGCCTCAAAAGCTGGGCATGCTGCGGATGCCAGTAACCCCAGGGCTGGAGCTCTTGAGCTCACTGGTCTAGTCAGACTGTGGAGCTTCTGCTTCCGTGAGAGGACCTGTCTCAAGGCAGCAGGGTGCACAGCAATAGACGAAGCCACCAACATGCTCCTCTGGCTTCTGCATGCAGTGCACACAAGCACACAATGCCACACATACACATATATGCAACACACACCTTCACACATACTCTCTCTCACACACACAGTGTCACATACATGCATGCATACACAGACACATACACACGCACCAATGCACACACACACACGTGCACACATGCACACATACAGACAGACACACAGGCACACTGGCTTTTCCTTCCAGGTGGTTCCCTCACCTCCTCCAGAAGCCTCTGCTTGAGCTCCCGTTCTGTCTCCAGCTTCTGTTGTAAGCTCCGGGCATTCATCTCGAGCATGGCGTGCTTCTTCTCCAGGTCGTTGAGCTGGGCATTTGGAAAAATTGGCCATGATGCCACATTTGGGAATGTTAAAGGGCTGCAGACTTTTTGAGATGTTCCCAAACCTTCACATGTAAAGGATAAGCATGGTCTAAAAGTCACAGGTTTTCATTTGGGGGAAAAAAAAAAAAAGAAAAAAAAAAAAGACAAGTCCACACGACAAATATGAGGACAGGAATCCCCTCCGTGGGCCAAGTGTCACCACACCAAGTTTTAAGAGAGTGGCTGCTCAGCTCACTGGTCATGCTTGGCCTGAATTTAATTAACTGATCGTATTCTGAGGCTCACAAATACATGATGGCTGCTGAGATGAGAAGATAGACAAGCATTCCCAAGTATCCGTCATCTGGGCCAGAAAGGCAGAGGCTGTGGCTACTGCGGGGCACGTCAACTACCGTGAAGTACAGCCAGGAAGGACAATGGCCTTGTTACAGATAAGATAAAGTGGTATCAGGATATCTAGACACATAGAGGTTGACTGTTTTACCAATTGTGACCAGCTAGACCCCGAGTCAGAGCTGTCCTTGAGTGCAGAGTGACAGCCTTGAGATGAAACTAATCACAGATGTCCATAGAGATCTATGTTCATCACAGTGTTATTCATATGGGGGGGGGAGGGACAAAACCTGGACGAAGCCCAAGTTTCCTGTACAGAGGCAATGCTCAAATTAGATGCCTGTGTGCAATTTTAGTTTTTTAGAATTACAAGTTTAAAAAATATTAATAAGCCAGGGAAAGCCTCCAGTTAGATGATTTTTTTTAAAAAAAAAAAGATGTAAAAGTATATAAATAGTAAGAGTCTAAAGTTATAAAAAAAATGTGTGTGTGCACCTGTCTGCGTGCATAAGATAAGCAAACAAGGCCATGGATCACCCACCACCACAACAACTGGTACCAGCTTTTCTTTACTTTTCCTGTGATTTTGTCATTTTTCCACAGTGGCCCCAAGAAATGGCTTTTATAAACATGAAATAAAATCCTGATTGCCATTTTATGCGCACAAATGTGAAGAGGATTTCTCTGATATCTCCGTTTGCTATCAAGGGCCTAGGTACATTTCTTCAAGTCTATTAGACAAAAGCACCAAACACGGGCGTACCGCGGCAGGTACACGGCAAGGTACACGGCAGACCCACATGACACGCTGAGGACTTATGTGAATGTACTGTGGTCTGAATGGTCCCCTAAACTCTTATACTAGAAACTTAATCTAACTTACGTGTGGATGATATCTGGAGGCGGGGCCTTTTGGATATCAGTATAACAGGAGGCTCTTAAGGCGAGGCCCCAGGGAGGCATTAGTGGCTTCCTACATAGACGCTTAAGCTGGCCTGAGGAGCTCTGCCTCCCATGCTGTCTCTGCCTTCAGTATGACACAGGAAGAGGGGCCTCAACAGATGCAGCCATCTTGGACTTTCTAGCCTGTAGAACTATTAGCCAATTTATACTCTTTATAAATTAGCTGGTCCCAAATACTTGGTTGTAGCAAGAGAGAAAATACATGTGCCTACGGTCACACGGAAAGAACAGGTCACTGCAGCCACGTTCTTCTGAAGGACGAGCAACAGGAGAGGCTTCTGAAGCCTTTTAGGAATAAAATAGCATTGTGTCCCCGGTGTTGGACTTTTGGGGCCCAGATAGGCAGATGTCAGAAACTCACCACCCAAGCAGGATAACCTGGTACCCAGCACACCCAGCTATGTCATCGCCAATCAAGGCTGCCCTGAGGTGAATCGTGTCTGACATTTTTGGAGCAAAGGCATGCTTATGAAATATGTTTACCGCAGCTGTATCTGAATTCGGATTAATCCTGCCTTGAAGGAGGAAAGGAAGACGTTTTCCTACAGGGAAGGAGGGGTGGGTGCTAACCTTGTCGGACAGGCTCTCCGCTTTCAGCTTCTGTTCTTTGAGAGCCTGCTGCAGAGCGAGAATCTCGGCCTTGTGCTCCTTCACTGCCAACTCCACCACCTGGCGAGACTCCGTGATCCGCTGATCGGCTCTCGCCCTGCCAGAGAAGCACAAGGCCACTTTCAGGAGCCCCACACCACAGACCTGGAGGGAGGAGGCTGATCCATTTCTAAACAGGCTGCGGGCCGAACAGAGGCCCAACCATGTATTCTACCTTTAAATGCTGTCTTCCTTCCCTACAGCTTACAGAGTAAAAGTCTGACCCATTTCAGACTTGGGTTAAAATTGCCCTGCAGCAGTAAAAGCACCTGCGGGGACTGACTGTGGAAAGGCTCGGGCTGCAGAGGAAAGTCATTCTCAAATGCAACTGGACTAAATGGGGGTGTGTCCACAGTGTCACAGATGCGTGCAGAATGGCCTGTCCCATATAGCTGTCAAGGAACCAAAGCATGCGGTAGACCGTGGGGGACCCCATTCGAATCTGAGTGACAGCCTTCTCCCCGTAGGGCGCAGGCAAGACCTAAGCGCTTTGAGGGCTCATAAAAAGTTGAAACTTGAAACTGATGAATATATCCACTAAAGAAGACAAAAATTCAAAAGTAAAAGGGAGGAAAATCCCTTCTTCTTCCAAATCTACGTCCTCTATTTTCCCGCCTCTGTACCATGGGCTTGTGTGAGACAAGGCTCTACTCCAGAAATTCTTAGTTGTCCTGGAGACCCCATGCGTAGGCGCCATGACCCTGCCTAGCTCCACCTCTTCCTTGTTCTCCACAGCCCTCCAAGCAGGCAATACTCTCTACTCTAGGTGACAGACATCGAAACACACTGGAAGGTGACTCTTGGCTTCTTAGGATGACCACAAAGATTAAAAAGTGTATTTTGTTGGGCTTACATAATACCAAACAAGAATGGAGAGGCGAGCTGGACCTCTCACGATCGCCCAGACACGGAAAGAAGTAGTGCACGCATTTGCAGGTGTGGCTGTGTTTCTCTCCATTCCAAAGCCAGACCCACCCCCACGCCTCCGACTTATCCCCGACAGACTGAAGGAACAGCTCAGAGAGGAGCGGGGCTTGAGTGTGCTCTGGAAGGTATCTGTGGGGGAGTGGTCAGCACTTCCGTGGAACCTCAGCCCTGGGCAGCGGAAGGAAGGGAAGGGACAGGTTTCTAAAGCAGCAGTCCTTCATATCAAACACTCGACTTTGTCACGAGGCAACTGCTGCTCCCAGTTTCTCTCATAATTTCAGAGTTCTCGTCTTTTGCATCCCATCTTTCCTACTTCAGCTCAGCTAGGAAGCAGACCATTCAGCCAGCGTATTTTATTATAAAGTCTACGGTCACCAAGTAATCGCTGGGGATGCGAGAATGACCGACGCCGTCTGATGAGGTTACCTTGCTTACGGGATACAGAGACCCCGGGGAGGTGACATCAGCAGGGTTCTGAAGGATAGGAAGGAACATGTAGGAAGAGACATGAAGTCACCAGCTAATGTTGGCCCATGTGGAAAAGTAAAACAGGGGGCCCTTGGATTTCAAGGTAGTTTCTGGTCATCTTTATGTAACATGGCAGAATAAACAGTGAGTTGCCATGAGTTACACACTGGGTGTTAGCACCCTTCAGTTAGGCAGCACATTCAATGAGAATGGTACTCCCGAAACTGTGACGCCCAACGGGAAGGGAACTGAGAGCTGGGCAGGAGTATTTAAAAGAAAAAGACAGGAGATGGGGGGGAGAGAGAGAGAGAGAGAGAGAGAGAGAGAGAGAGAGAGAGACAGACAGACAGACAGACAGAGAGAGAAGGAGTGGGTGTAGTTTCATGCTCACCCCAGGGGACACTGGGTAACTTCTGGGATTGCTTCTAGCTATCACAGCCTGAGCAGTAAGTTGTTGCTGGCATCTAATAGAAAGCAAGCAGGCAAATGCACCCTATCCTACACTACAAAGCACCCCATACGCACAAAATGAGGGAATGCCCAGGCAATCCAAGGCATCGGCGCTCTAGAGCAGAAGGAAATGAACGAGTCTTCATGACCAGGATTCAGACAGTGGGGACCTGGCTACTGAGGTGACGAGGTTGGGATAAGGATCTTGGTGAGGTGATGGACATTTTTATTAGCCTTGTCCTGGGCCACTACCACAAGAGTCACGTGACATTTGCCAGATTTACAGCCAGGATGTCGCCCCTCCTTGGCTCGCCTGAGACTATGCTGGTCATGGTTCGGAAAGACCTGCGTCCGGGGAGATAGCGCGGTCTCAGGACACTGGGACAGTTGGTGGCCTTGTTCGATGCTCTGGGGGGGGATTCAGGTGTGCTCACCTGGCACTGGCTCTCCACAAAAGGGGAAGTCCCACCTGCTCTGCTTCTCGGTGTCCAGCATCCTCTGCAGCTCTCGGACGCGGCACTCAAACTGGGACTTCTCGTCCCCGAGGACGCTCCTCCAGGCCTCCCACTGGCGCTCTTTCTCCAGCAGCTCGTCATTTAGCGCCTCCAGATCCATGACCTGCTCCTCCAGCATGGTGCATGTGGTCTTCAGAGCCTCCATCGTCTGCAAGTCAGGCAGGGAGTCTGGAGGTGACTTTTGTCAAAGAGCTTCAGAAAAGCAGAAGTTCCTAACCACAGACTCACAGACAGGCCATTTTTCTATCCCACAGCTCAGGGGGACCAGATGACAACAGACCAAAGGCCATCTATCCACACTACCATCTGAGAGGTACGCCCCGGGGTGGGGTGGGGGTGGGGGACCACGATGATACAGTTATAATCCCGGCTCTCAGGAGAAAGGCCGAGAGTCTACTGTCAGTCTCCACCACACTAGTAAGAGTCCGTCTTTAAAAACCAACCTATCCACTTCTAAAGATTTCTTATTGTTATTTTTATTTGTGTGTGAGTGTGTGTTCCAGTCACACTTATGCAGCTGCCTACGGGTGTTGGAAGGTGATAGCAGATCCCCTGGAACTGGAGATTACAGGCTGTTGGGAGCCACCATGTGGTTGCTGGGAACTGAACTCACATACTCTGGAAAAGCAGTAAGCACTCTTAACCCCAGTACCCATTTTTAAAAGACATTTTAAAAACCATAATCTAGGATTTATTTTTAAAAGCCAGGATTGACAAGAAGCCTGCTTGCAGGCGCCTACTTGGTCTTAGACCCCCTCAGCAAGAACGCTCCAGACCCTTCTAAATCCCTCTGACGGCTGTCCAGGGACCTGAGGGCCCAGCCTCTCCTCTTACTTGCTTCTGGCTGGTGAGCTGCATCTCCCTCTCCGTGATCTCACGGCGGAGATGGTCCACCTCACTTCGCAGCTGCACAATCTCATCGTTGGCACCGGAGGCCTCGTCAAGTTGTTTAGATAAATAGAAGTTTTGGTTGTTGAGTTCAGCGTTGTCCTCGGTCAGCTGGTTCAGCTGCTCCTCCAGGTCAGTGATGACCTATGGGGCGGGGGTGGTGGCAAGGGGGGGACTTAGTATCAAGAAAGGTCACTGTCGGCAAGGAGAAGCTTCTAGGACCAGTGGTTCTGAAAGCTGCAGTCGGATGGTGTCACATGGCATGACAATGGGAACCAACATGCAGGCATGTGACTTGATGCCCAACTCAAGCTCCCGCACAGGCTCCTTAGTTAGAGCGCGCATTCTGAGGGGAGGCGTCTCCTTTCTAACTTATGATACATCTGGAAAACATGCAAGAGTCAATCAACCAAGCGCTAAATGGATGGGCCAGCTCGAATGAGATCCAGTTAATAGCAGAGAGACACAGGCCAAGGAGAGAGGACTGTCTGAGACTACAATCATCTAATTAAACTGAAATCGACCTTGATGCCACCTACAGGGCACCGCCGCCGCAGACAGCCGCGGTCTTAGGAAGCCAGATAAAGTTTTATCAGGGAAAAATCACAATGAAAAGCGTTATTTGAATAAAATCACAGGCAGTGAATTTAATTCTGTGTAACAAAGATGGGGAAGAAATCTTAAGAGAAGCCTGGATAATTCTGAGGATACAATACCACATCACGATGCGGCTTAATGGATTCTGCTACACAGTGAGTTCTCCGAGTCTATGAAATTGTCATTTTATTGAGAGAGATTTAATCTGGTTTTACTAAATTATTTCCCTGTTCAATGGCAGAATGAGTTCCATTTCAGAACGTTTAGCTTGCCTGTTCTCTTTGCCGAGGCTTAGCATCAGTGCTTGTAGAGAACATTTATATAAAATACTTTCGAAGTTTAAGGGTAATTTTCTCATAATAGTTAGAATATGGCACGTGGGACATAAATTAAATTTTATGTAACAAAAAGAAGTAAATTAAAAGGAAACATCTTTAAGCCTGCAGTTATTAACTGTTTCGGGCTTCTGCGCCTACAACAGACATACTCTGTGACCTGTTAGCATTGCTAGCACGCCTAATCCCTTATTTCAACTGTCTTGATCAATTTAAAAATATAACAGTCTTCCTATGCACACAGAACTAAAGAATATAGATAAGAGTCTAGAAAGCTCATTTGACCAAGCAGCGAGCCTCTCGGGGCACAAGTGGTCTAGAACCTGAGTGGAGCGTGTTGGCAAGGGGTGCACCATGAACTGTGAGCAGGCACCTGGACCAAACAGCTTCCTTAGAAGCCTAGAAATGGAACTGTGTGCCGCGCTACGCCTCACGATTTGCCTCAGTGGTCCCTTTGTCACTCTCCTGGAGCCATGGCTAAGTTGAGATCAACAACTCCACACACTCCACCTGTCTTCATCCTACACAAAGTCACCCCACCACCTAAGGCCCTTCCCCTAAACAGTCTCCATTTAACCAGAGCACTAGGAGCAAACAATTTCATTTCCTTCTGCCCCGTCCCCAAAGGAAAGGAGCAGAATGGGACAAACGAGTGAGCTTGGAAGATTCTGGAACTCAAATGAGTTTGTACTTGGGTGGGTTTCTCCATCTGTGACATGGAAATAAATACCATATTTACTCTTTTCCTTTAAATTTATTTATTTATATTTTATGTATGAGTGCTCTACATATAAACCTGCAGGCCAGAAGAGGGCATCAGATCCTATAATAAATGGCTGTGAGCCGCCAGGTAGGTGGCTGCTGGGAATTGAACTCAGGACCTCTGGAAGAGCAGCCAGTGCTCTAAAACCCTGAGCCATCGCTCCAGCCCCTATATTTATTCTTGATCTTTTATTTTTAAATTGTCTTGTATCTATTCAAGTCCTGCGCCGTGAGATATATATGGGATATAAATTAGTGACCAAAATGGAGTTTCATTCTGAAAAACCTCTTGGGGAACAGACCAACTGCAGAAAATCTATTCACAGAGAAAATATCATTTCCTTGCCATTCACAGTTATATTTAAGCTTCTGGGTACCTATTTCCTTTCTTTGATTCACAGGAAAAAAAATACAGATTATTATGAACCCATTTCTGTCATATTTTCTCTTTTTCCAAAATTAAGATTATAAAAAGCTAAAGAAGAAACCTGTGAAAAACTAATGAGGTGGCAAAGTCTGGGCTCCACCCCCTTGACGCAGGTCTGCTAAAGAGCAAAGGTCCCTCCATTCCCAGTGTCTCTGGCCTCTGTTCCCAGCATCTGATTGTTGTTCTGTATTTGTCATGGTCTCCATTTTCCTCATTAGATGAGGGTAACACACATGCATGCACGCACGGGGCTTTAAAGCATTTCCACTTTGAACTGTGCATCTGCCTAAGTCAGAACACACTGGCGTCTACCCTTTCTAAGCAGCGAGGTGAAGTGTGAGACACACATTTCTGCCCACTTTACTGAGGTTACAGATACTGAGCTGACATGAGACACGTCACCAGGTTAAAGTATAACGAGCAATCCCTCCAATTGCTCTTTGAAGGGTTACTTTAGTTTCATTTTACAGGAGGGGAAGTAGGGGAACCAGGAGACTAAGAGACTTCACCAAGGGCACACAGCGGGCAGAGAAAGAGGTCAAACCTCGAGAGCAGCTCTGAAACTCAAAGCTTGTCTCTTACCCCTCCAACGATGCGGCACTCTCAGAAACCGAGGACAGAGATGCACTGACTGCTTGGGCCTCTTTTGCTTTTGTTTCTCTGAGACATATATAGCCTAGACTGGCCTCAAAGTCACCATAGCCTCCCGTGTCAGCCTCCTCAGTCCTGAGATTAGGAACATGTGCCAAGATGCCTGGTGTCATGCTTGCTTTTGAACCAGGTAATATGCAACAATTCCTAGTTCAACTCTGTGGCCACGCTGAGGGCAGATGGTCTGTTTATTGACAGACTTGGTTATGAGAGTCCATTAACTTTTAGGTCCCAAGAACAGAGGGTTTTTTAAAAACAAAAAACAAATAAATAAATAGAACGTCTAATTCTACTTCACAATAAAAAAAAAAAAAAAAAGACAGGGCAGAGGGCAGCTTCCCCACATGGAGGCCAGCCAGGCTTTCTTGTAGGCTATTTTATGAACAACAGATCTTGGTGCAGAACCAAGAATACAAGACTGTCTACTCCCAGTGTCAGGAAAAAGTACATATGGGGACACACACACACAAGCACAGCTCTCTTTCTGGAGTAACCTGTCACTTCTCAAGTCTGCTTGTGACCCTCACCATCACAGAACTGTACACCGAACTAGAAAGGACCAGGGGGTGCAAGGGTGGAAGGAGCCAGGCAAACACCGAGCAGCAGCCGAAGGCTCAGGCCCGAGCCTATTTTAATGCCTGCTTTTCCGAAGGCAGCTATTTGCATATTATTTATTTTTAATCTTATAGCTGACAGATTGATTCATAATTAAAGCTGTGTCATATGCTTGCCCACCAACTCCCCTCTAAAACAGACACAGGGAGGGGTTTAGGTGCCAGATTGAATCAAATCCTTTTTTAAAAATCCCTTCAAAACATAGAAATGGTCCGAGCCTGGAAGTCTCCTGCCCCCAGCTCTGTGAAATCGCTAACCAGGCGCTCCTCGTGACTAGGTTAGTAAGGAGCTCTTACCAGTGACAGAGGGGACACTTCCTAGCAGAGGCCATCTTGGACAGCATCCAGAGGGAAGGACATCCAGGCCAAGATCCCGCATCTTTAAAGCTGCTTTGAACTTGACTGTGTTACTGAGACCCAAGACTGTGGCTAAATGCCTTGAAGTAGATGTTTCCAGAGTTTTTAAAATAGAAAGGCCATTTTTCCAAAGCAAAGATTATGGTAGGAACCTGAGGTAACTGCAGAAGCCAACATCCATCTCTCTGTGGGCCGGGCCTGTGTGGAACTGCTCTGCGCCTCATCTACTTACCGCAGGAGCCCTTGGAGGTGCTGCCACCCCCAACGCCAGTGGCTTCTGCTGCCCAGGTCTTACTGAGTCTGAAACTCAAATACTTATCAGAAATGGACAGTTTCCCTCTTCCCTCATCCAGAACCCAAACCACAGCCAGTAACTATCAACTGGAAACATCAATGCCACGCTGGAAGCGAGGCTTTAGGCTAGCCCCATTTGGGAGGACGGTATCGGACAGGTTGCTAGAGACCATTTTATAATGTGAACCCTGTCTGTCTGACTCCAGAGCCCGTGGCTCGGACCGCTGTGTCTCCCAGCTGTTCTAGTTAATATGTGGAGGAGAGGACACTCTGTTAGACGCCCCCCCCCAAAAAAAAATAATTGGAAAGGGTCCCATAGGCCTTACCACCAAATACCAGTGGTAAAAAAAAAAAAAATAGAAATAAAATTTAGAAGGTATAAACATTACATAAGCTAAACCAAAAATCAAATTAATTTCACATACTGTCAGGTTCCCTTATAGCCAAACTTGCAATTTCTTAAACTGGTGACCAGGCTTCACAAAGTAACATGTAAACCTTTAAGGGTGTGGGAGGTATGTTTCTTATTCCCTCTCTGTTGGTTTCACGTGTGTTTACACATTTTGGAACCCTTGAAGTCTAGTCTATACTGATCACACCTCAATCATACACAGAAAGCTCATTCTTAACTTCTTATGGTAGAAAACTAAAAGAAGTAAAAAGAGGCTGTTAGGCAAATGGAACAGGTTTACCAATGGACACATTTGAAAGCCATCCAAGCTTAAGGAAAAGTTAGTCAAGTAAAGGGGGCACAGCTCATGACTTCTACTATTGATTAGATAATTGATCGGTATCAATTTGTAAAAACTTAGGATTATTTTGGAAAGTGCTGCTTAATGTGTCTCATAATTTATTTTCTTTTCATTTAATCTTGTTGATTTAGAGTATTTTGAATGAAAAAATACTTATATTTTTATCTATTAAATTTATCAACTTTTCTCTTCTTCATAGGCTCCTTGTTCTAAAAGATATTTAAGTACATTCAAAGTATCTCAGGGACAGAATGGTGGCCTTTGCCTGAAATGGAAGCACTTGGAAGGCTGGGGCAGAAGGGTAGAAAGTCCAAGGTCAGCCTGGGCTACAAGGTGAGGTCTTATTTCAAGATAATTGAATAAGGAAGAAAAGAGAGACTTCATACAAAATCTGTATTTATTCTGTGATCATTTATAAGCATGTATGTGGTATAAATTACTGGGGCAACAGTCAGGAATTAAAAATACTAGACGGACAAGAGCAGATTCCACCAGTTCTTCAAGGAACGGGAGGAGGGGCAGTTGAAAGGCATGTGGAGGCAGGATCGTTCCCCACTACATCTGGACATACAGACCAAACTGCCTGACAAACCCATCTCGTGACCTAGCAACTCCATAGCCGGTCATGTGCTCTCCAGGGATCAGTGCTTGCAGCTACCCAAGGACCCGCACAAGGAACCTTCCCTAGCAAGGTGCCATCTACGGGCCGAGACATTGTGCAGCTACCTGCGGCCACTCAGGTAGCTGAGCTGCCAAACTGTAACAGTGTGCGCCCAAGACGGAGTGCCCCAGTTAGAGTTGGTGACTTGTGACGGTAAAGGAAAGATGTACACGTGTGGGAGAGGTGCTTCTGGAAATTCACAGGCGCATACGTGCACACAGGGACAGGACCACCGAGGACCGACAAAGTCAAAATCCACAAAAAGACCAAAGATGCAGAAGCACAAATAAGGACAGCGGTCCCAGCTCCTAAAGGGGCCTATTTCTGTCCTTCATTTTGATCAAAAATAGACTTTGCTTCTTCCCTGACTTGACTAGATTATGTAACCTGTGAGTGACACTCGCCTGCTGATAGAAGTGCTCCCCAGAAGCGATGTCACCCACAAGGGTCCTAGATTGTGAATTTTCGTATTAAAAAGGTGATTTTTTTTTTTCCCTATTAGGAAGACAAACTTTTTTGGTCCACAGGAGAACTAATTGGCCTTTCTTCTTGGCAAAGGCCACAGGATGAAGAAGCCACGTGGGAAACCAGTCCCTGACATTGGGACAGTTTCTTGTCCAGGTGGGCCATGGACCCTTCATGCTGGAGAAGGGAATGAGCTACCTTGAGAGCTTGGTTGAGGCTACAGAATCTATCTACAGTTTCATACTGAGGGTGAAATGCTTTGGCTTTCTGTTTTGAGATAAGCTCTCATCTGTAGCCCGGCTTTGCCTTGAGGTCCTTTCGCCTCCTACCTCAGCTACCTGTACAGGTGCGTGCCCCACACCCAGCTAGAGCAAGAATTATTTGACTATTTTAACTATCCTAACTACCTTCCCCTCCCAAACCTAAAGAATAATTTTAACATTCTTCAAACCAGTAGCCCCCTGAAAAACTAAAACAAAATAAAAGCATTATGGTCTTCATGCTGCAAGAGTGTATGGAGAATCGGTCACCAACGCAACGACACCACAGAGAGCCCTCCCCTTGGCCTTCTCGGCTCTAGTCTGCTCGTCTTTGGCTTGTTCATACTCACAGTGCAGCTGCTGCGAAGGGCATCAAACTTGCGCTGGATTTCATCTCTATGTGCCTGAAAGGTAAGAAGTACATGATAAACCTTTCTAGGGTTGGATGCAATTCTACGTGCTATGGGTCGAATACAGAACCCAGCATTTGCTTGAAAAGCCAGGTGCACGACTGCAGCAGCCCCAGCATCCGCTCTGCAGAGGATTAATCGACGAGACCGTCCCCGGCATCAGCAACAAGTAACAGGGACAAACATCCCTGTGTTAAGAGGTACAGCCACTCAGACCGCACCACGGCACCAGGCGGATGCTTCCACAGTCATAACACCGGGGAGAGTGGGAAAGGGGGGAATAAAGGACCACACTCTTACTCCTCCGCATTGGCCCTAAACCAAACCCCGGTTCTGAAAATAGGAATGACTGTCCTTCTTCCCTCCAAATGACCCCTTCCTAGCCTGGGAGATGGACAAACAGAAGACAGACAGACAGGCATGCACACACGCACAAATGAGACACTGTCAGGGAAAAAGCAGAGTTTCGTTTTGTTTTGTTTTGTCTTTTAAAATTAAAGCTGCTGAGATTCATACAACTTCACACTGACCTGGGAGTTAACATCCTGACTTTCTCTGAGGCAAAACTATCCTAAAATCGCAGTATTTCTGCTATTGTTTGGATCTTAAATACCATCCAGAGGCCCTTGTGTTAAAGGCTTATAGTCAGCCTGTGGCACTAATGGGAGGTGGTAAAGCCATCAAAGCATATGACTTAGCTGGAAATTAACTTAGGCCATGGGCAGTTCTTGAAGAAGATATTGGAGTCCTGAACTAACTAACTAACTAACTAACTAACTCTCTCTCTCCCTCCCTCCCCCTCCTCGCTCTCTGTTTCCCTGCTGTCAGAAATAAACAGGCCCCCTCCACTGTTTGCCCCATCTTGACAACACTAAACTGGAACAGCCCGGCGACCACAGCTAGAATCTCAGGTACCATGAATGGCAGTAACTAACGGGGGATTTTATCAGAGTACCGGAAAGCTGCCTGACACAGTTCCTATCAGCACTGAGATAGGGCACACTCACACGTAGCCCATGCCTTCATCCTGGTGAAGGAAGACAGTGGCAAAGACCCCAAGGCGGAAAAGGGCTTCACACAGTGCTGAGTGGGCAGAATAGGGCTCCTTAGACTCTGACCCAGTAGCAAGCAAGTCAAGGAAGGATTCAGTCTGTCTGCTTGCTGCATTCCATTAAATAGGAAGGGCTCGACAGAGACAAAATGCGTTGGGTGGTAAAGGCAAAAGCTGACTTCAAAAGTTTTAGATCTATAATCCATCCAGTTTAACAGGTATCAGTTGTCACAACTTTATGTAACATTTAGAAAAAGTGCAGTCAATTAAACCCTGGCATGTTCATGTATATATATGGCTCTAAGACACATCTTGACTTGAGTTACCTCAGAACTCATGAAGTAGGGTTTGTAGGGTCTGCATCCAACCAACCACGGAAAGAAAATATTCTGGGGCACATGATGATTGGTTTTATATCAACTTGACACAAACTAGAGTCATTCGGGAAGACAGAGCCTCAACTGAGAAAATGCCTCCATAAGATCTGCCTGCAGGCAAGTCTCTACTGATAATGCAGGTGAGCCCCACCTCCCTGGGAGTGACGCCAGACTTGGGCAGGCAGAAGCCAGGCTGAGCAAGCCAGGAGGCACCGCTCCTCCATGGCCTCGGCTTTAGTTATCGCTTCCAGTTCCTGCCCTGACTTCCCAGGATGATGGAAACATTTTCCTTCCGAAGTTGCTATTGGTCATTGTGTTTTATCACAGCAAGAGACGCCCTAACTAGGATAGGGCAGGGGGAGCGCTGGTACTGAATATAAACATGGGCTTTCATTATTCTTGAGACAAAGTGTCCTATCCTCACAGCATCGATACTGTATCAGTATTCTAAGCAATCTAGAAATGGTTTACAGCAAAGAGGACATGCACAGGTCCAGGCCATTGCCTGGGACAGGCTGAAACATCTGCTAATTTAGGTACTGGTGAGAGGTCCTGAAAATGAACCTCCAAAGATGACGATATATTCTCTCTTGCATTGAACTGCAAGGAAAGATATATTTTTCTTCTGAGTTTTGGTCAGTTTTGGAAAAAAAGAAAACAAGAGAAAGGGGGAAAAATTGTCCAGGAAGGCATCTGGGGCTCATTCGAAGTCCAAAAACCTGGAAACCGAGGAAGAAAGGAAGAAAAATGTGGTCTTCTAGCTATTGCAAGAGTGCTAACGCAGGGCAGTGGTGGCGCATGCCTCTAATCCCAGCACTCAGGAGGCAGAAGCAGGCAGATCTCCATGAGTTCGAGGCCAGCCCGGTTTACAGAGCTTGTTCCAGGACAGGCTCTAAAGCTACAGAGAAACCCTGTCTCGAAAAACCAAAGGATGCTGGGATGTTGTGGGAAATCACAGATCAAAATGAAACAAAGGGACTAAGCAGCAGGAAAGCCCCTGAGGAGGGCAGGGTTACCAGCCAAGAGAGAAATGGTGGTGATTTAGAGCGGTATGGCAGCAGAAATCAGAAAAGTTTAGAAAGGACAACTGAAAGGGCATGAGGGGAATGGGGGGCAGGGAGACCCAGGGGCCTTAGACCAGAGAGACAGTGGAGATTATCGCACCAGCTGCTCAACAGTGAGAACACAAAGAGCCATCTAGTCTTAGGCAGAGGCAAAGGGAGTCATTTCCTTAAACACAACAAAATTTATTCTCCAGAAAAGTCTATAAGACAACTTAAAAGTTTTAGAACTATGATGTTCTCTCTAATATGTCCATTTTCCAAGACAATTATAATAGGCTATATAAAGACATGTGAGTTAGAGACATGTGAGCTAGAGACTAGTACACCCAAAGTCATAGCAATAGAAACTAGACAAAAGAAAACACAAATAATAATAATAATAAATTGTAAAAAGAGTTTTAAAAGTGAACAGGGACAGCAGAGAGCTGAGACAGCTGGGAGCAGAATGCGCATTAACTGGGGTCTCTGAAGGAGTTTGGGGTGAGCTGGAGAAATGCTGCAAGAAGCAATGGCCACAGATGTCCAAAGCTGTTCAAAGCTTTGACCCCACAGACACAAAAACTTCAAAACACTCTAAACCTAAGAAACATGAAGACAATTATTCTTAAGTGCATTACAGTCAAATTTTGCTTAAAACCAGCAACAAGGGGGCTGGAGAGATGGCTCGCGGTTAGGAGCACTGCCTGCTATTCCAGAGGTCCTGAGTTCAATTCCCAGCAACCACATGGTGGCTCACAAGCATCTGTGCCCTCTTCTGGCCTGCAGGCACACATGCAGACAGAACACTGTATACATAATGAATAAATAAATCTTTAAAAAAAAGAAAACAGCAACAAGAAACTCGTCAAACCAGGCAGAGAAAATTTGTTATACTCAGGGCAACAATGGGAGTGCTGGGAGGCTGATTCTAGGCTAGATGTAACTGTCACCATCTTAGATCAGAGCAACATTCATCACCAGAGCTGGGCCCTCATGGACTGGGACTATCAACATTCCCCTTCATGGGAGAGGAGAGGGCTTTCCTCAGAACACACAGCAGTGAATGATGGCCAAAAGAAGGAAACTCGATAGTATAGCTGCCCATAAGCTGTCCATGTTCCTATGAGGAACCCTAATAAATTCACTGGTTCACTGAGCCAGACATGGGTGGAACGGTTTCCATTGCCAAGATAAAATACCATGACCAAAAGTAACGTCGGGAAGAAAGGGTTTATTTGGCTTACAAGTTCAATCACAGTCCTTCACTAAGGGAAGCCAAGGCAGGAATCAAGCAGGATAGGAGGCTGCAGGCAGAAACTGAAGCAGTCAGCCTTTCTTGCACACCAGGGACCACATGCCAAGGGGATGGCGCCACCCACAGTGGACTGGGCCCTCCCACATCCGTCAGTAACACCACAGACCAAACTGAAACACTTCCTCTTCCCAGATGATGCTGACTGTGTCAAGCTGGCAAAAACAAAATCCTAAACAGCACAGACACACATTAACAAGAAGATCAGATGTTCAAACCATGCTGTGGGAGGGTTGAGCCTGAAGACAATATAGCAGCATTGTAAACATTGCAACAGTGTTTAACCTGTCTGCTTAGAGCTCTGTAGGTAGCAGAAGTATCTATCTCTCCCAAGAGAAGAAGGAGAGGCTGCCACTGACATGGGGGAAGGGGATGTCTCCCCAGCAGACCCATACTGCACAGGAATCCTTCAGGCAGGACAACAGCAACTGGAAATTGCGTCTAGATGCTGTCTATGTAGACTCACGTTGCTGAGGGCCTAGTGAGAGGGTCCTAACGTCATGACCTTGAGAGTGACTGTGGATCCAGCCCCTTACTCTACCCCTCCATCCTTGCTTTCTGGTCAGGTGAGCAGTATGTGTTCACAGTGCCCTCGCAACCATGTGCTGCTTAGACTCAAACACAAGAAGCCAGTCACGGACAAGCATCAAACCTGTGACCCCAAACCAGTCACTTTTTCTTTATATGCTAATTGTCTTAGGTTACCACGATGGCAAGCTGACTAAACATATTCAGCAATGACAAAAGACTAAGTTGCTGGGGTGAGAATAAATATTTACTTAGCTTTAGAACAAAGCCATCTGTACTACCGTTGAATCTCATTTGTAGCCAGTGACCGAGCAGGGTCTGCTCCCATGAGCCTCCTCAGGTCCCTTTGATGAACGCCATAATCACCATGGACAAAAGAGAGGATTTATGGAGAAAGAACAGGCTCTTACATTAATCACCTCTACATCAGGGGTCAGCAAGATTTGTGTGTTTTTTATTTTTGTTTTAATGAGAGAGATAGGAGAGATTTTTGGTCTGCAAGCCAATTTGATCTACTTAAAGATGTCCTCACAGGGCAAAGGTCACTATCGAAAATATGAACATGAGACTGGGGAGATGCCTTTCGCTTATTCTCCGGCACCCACCTAAAAAGCCAAGCACCCGTGAGCATAGCTGTAACCTTAGCACGGGAGAGGGGGCAGAGACAGGAGGGTCCCAGGACT